AAAGACAGAAAGAGATGGGAGGACCATGTCAGGTGGGTTTGACATATTTTTCTATCTGAGTAAATCAAGAAAATTGAAGGTTCTAAATTTATATTCTGGCTTGTCATGGTTAATTTGGAAATTTATCTATGACCCCTCAAACATTTTACATGTTTATTACTTCAATAGCCAGCTGAGCTTCCATATGAATGAAAAATACAAATAATTAAAATATTATATTCATGTTAATCACCAATGATTAAACAAATTACAGAAATTTCATTACAAAGTCACTCAAAGTTGTTACTGTCATCACATTTATGTACTTACAATTTTAGTTATTTTACAGATATGATGTGAGTGATAAATGGTATAGAAATCTGGGAAGCTTTAGCAAATGCATAAAACTTTCAAGTTTCAAATCATAAGGAGATTCAACTTCATGAATTATTTTCCATGTATACAGTACTATTGATTGCATTATAATTTGCACGGCAAAAATGGAAAACTTTATTAAGAAACATTTGAACTTTCCACTGAATATGTTTCTCAATTCATCAAACAGAAAACAAGTTATTTTTCCATTTCTTTATTTCTTAAAGCTGAAATTCATACTGAAAATGATGAATAATCAAAAGAGATTTTTTCAGCTTGAGAAAAATATTCAATTACTAATTTTTTCTTATAATTGCAACTTATTAAAATGTTACAAATGATTACATCTCCTATACCAAAAATGTATCTCACACTTACCTTTATCCTGATGAAAGATTCTCTTCTTTCCCCATCTAAGCATTGGTATGAATTCTACCTTGCTTTCTCCAGTCTTTATAACCCACTATATCATCACTAGTGATTTTAATTCTGCGACTCCCTCCACCTAAGCCATTGTGCCTTCTATACCCAGTCCATATATAAGCTCCCTGTTATTCTTTCTTATTCACTTTTTTGAGACTGGCAAGATTATCAGACAAAACCACCAGCTATCGTGGAAAGGAAGGGTGGGATAGTGAGAGGAGGTTTTATCTGAAATACATTTTCAGTATAGGAAAATGTAAACTTTCGAAATACACCTCCTCTCACACTTTAGCTAAAATCCTACATTGACCAGGTGGAGGGGCCAGTGAAGGCAAGATTCATACAGAAAGTGTTTGGGAAGAAAAACAGGTGTGTAATTCTGAGATATAATAAAACACACTGGTGGGGATCTGCACTACTTCTGAAACAGGTATGCTCTTCACCCAGATAAAGTGAAATCTCAACATGGGGGTAAAGGCCAACCAGCTATATAATCAACATTGTTCATTATCCTGAACATTATCAGACAAGTTTCCACATCTTGTCATTGGAATCATAGGGTTGTGTACTCAAAGGTAAATCCAAGGTGTAGTGAATAGGGCATGGGGACCACAATATGTAATTGCACAATAGAAATATAATATGAAGGGAACCCAACCTGAAAGTTACAGGATATTGCATGTCAAGCCACTGGAATTACAAAGAAAAAACAGGCAACACCTAAGTGGACAAACTCTCACTCCAACCTGAAGAAGCACAAAATGCAACAAACTGAACTCAGAATTACAGGTCCAGGCACTAAATCTGAAAGTTACAGAATGTTGCATGCAAGTCACTGGAATTACAAAGGGAAGGCAAGCAACATCCAACAGAACAAGTCTTCCCCCCAACCTGAAGAAGTTCAAAATGCAACAAACCAAACTCGGAATTACGGAGCCACAGAGATCATCTGACCTGGGAATATGAACCAAAACCATAACTCTTCAACCTGGGAGGCAACGTAACACCTCCTGTCCCAGAATTATGAGGAGGGTCATCAGGTTACTCTATGTCTGAGATGTGAAAGTAAGTATTCATATTAGAAAAAAATGTCTCGTAAGATCAAGAAAATAAACAATAAACTCAAACTCCACGAAAAAGATATAAACAAATTCAAAAGAAACAGTTGCAAATGTAGCAATAGTGCTGAAGAGAAACTTGCAGCAATCACATAGACCATCTTCGTAATTTTTGTTGTAAAGAAAAAGTGAATAAGAAAGAATAATGGGCTTATATACGGATCGGGTATAGAGGGGGGCATTAACGTAGGTGAAGAGAGTCACAAGATTTAAATCACTAGGGGCGATATAGTGGGGTATAAAGACTGAAGCAACTGAGGTAGAATTCATACCATTGCTTAAAAGGGCAAAGAAGAGAAACTTTTGCTGGGATAAAGCTAAAGTCTGAGAGAAGGTAAGTGTGTTTCGGAAATGTGTATACAAGTTTAAGTTTGTTTTATAGCAAAGCCATATTGGGTTATCAGCAGGGAATCAAACCCCAGATTTTAGTGCTGAAACTCTGTAAACTTACCACTGACTAACTAGAGGACATTATGCAAGTTTAATAAATTGGAGGAAACTTAGAATAGAAAAATTACATATAAATTTAAATTATTTTTTAATTGTATGGTAAAGGTCACAAAATCCTGATAAAGTTTAGATGTAGTATACAATTACACATACATTAGATACACAATGTGATATGTAAATGTTAAAGCACATCAATCTATAAGGATTTACAAAATGCTATTAAAATCTGAAAATACTTTTTTCAGAGGGCAACAAGTACAATAACAAATAACTTTAATGTATAGTAGAGATATGTGTATTCCCCATGTATACGAGATTTGGGTCACCCAAGTTTATCTCTGGGCTAACTGAAATGATTATTTCACCAGGAAAACAACATGTCAAATATCAACAATAAAGTGAAAGGTGACAATTGTCAGAATTCAAAACTAAAAAGGGGTGTTGTTGTTTACTGGAACTCTAAATGTTTAGTTTCAACTCCAAAAATAAATTAAAGTCTAATCAATCCCTAGGTTTGACAACAGGATGAAGTTAGTAGCTTTTTCTGTTTGATTTAATCATTTTGTCATACTTTTTAAATGTACCTAATTCGGAAATGCTTTATAATAATTAATAATGATAACTTTAAATATTATTTATTTTGCAAACTAAATTATACAATTGTAAGCATAATAAGTAATTAATTTTTTAAAAGCCAACAACTCTTAAAGTGGCAAAAGAATAACTTATCTTTTCACAAAAAGCCAAACATTAACAAAACAACTGCAATCAAAGAACATGTTACATGTTCTTAGGGAAATGTCATCGAATTGCATAGAGCTATGGCTTTTTTAGGGAAGGCTAATTCTAAGAACTCATGAGTGAAAGCAAAAGAAAATATATTATATCAACCACATTACATCTAATATATTCCACTGCTGACAAGGCATTTCACTCAATACCAATTCTCATAAGGCTGGGTGGGATACATCAAACATATTAGTTGTATAGGAACTATATGTATTATCAATTTTCACGAACAACAACTTTTAGGGTGTGAATCCGATTAAACAAGTGAATTTTATTTATGCAAGAGAAATACTTTTCAATTTGGTTAATTAAGAGGAGGAGATTTGTTTACATTTTGTAAGTTTACTATACACATAGAACAAAGGTTTATTTGAAACCATTTATAAGTAGAACAGCATTTGGCAGAATTCTTATTCATATCATCTGTAAACTATTCTGTGTATTCATAACACTCCCGTGGTGAGGTGGATTTTTGTCTTTTTAGAGTAAAGCCACAGTGGTCTATCTGCTGTGTCCAATGATAGGAATTGAACCCTGTATTTTAGCATCGTAAATCCATAATTTAACGATGTCCCACCAGGGGACATGCGAGGTGTAGCTATCAATTTAATACATTGCAATAAGCTAAAGAAATATATGACCCGTGTGTGTAAATACTGATTCATTATGTTCATTTTCCAAATAACAGTAGAATTATACATGCTAGTCTCCATAGCAACTACTTACACTCACACAAACAAAGAAACAAAACAAAAAGAACAATCAACGTTTATTTCAGACTTCACAACAAACCAATGGAATAATAATGTATAACTATAATGATCATGGTTCTTTACTACACTTATGTTCAGGTATAACAAAAGCTATTCATTCAGAATCATTAAATCAAATTTACTATATATATATATATATATATAGCACACATAACAAAGTTTAATATATTTGACTCTTATATGTATATGAATATTAAAATTTACTTGAACACTTTAAGAAAAAAGATTTATTTATTTCTAAAATTATAGGCACATGAGGATGTAATTTGTTTTAAAAAAGCCAGTATTCTGAGAAATTGTACAGTGTGTACATCAACCAAGATCCTATAAAATAACAAGTCTTCACCACCAGTATCAAAGACTGAATTTGATGCAAGTCACACCATAGTTTGAGATTGTCTTTTAAGATATAAATTGTATTACTGTTATCATATAAACTAAAAGCAATAAGCTTAGAAGAAAATCTACAGTTTAACCAAATATGGGTGAATTTTGTAAAATGATAACTAAATCTTTTTCACTTTTAACTGTGTATTAATTCATTATAACACTGTCTTCAAGTATGTCTTCAACACAGTTTGTTTTTTGCATGAAGTGAGAATAATTACATTACCTAGACAGCTAAATCAGAGGAATCTGTGATTCCTAGTGTAAAGTTTTGTAACATCAAAAATCATATGCCTATGCTTAAATAAAAATTAGGTATTCTCATATTTATGTCATTTTTTTAAGACAACTATTGAGGAAACAAATCAAGAGATGGAAGCTTTTGTTTATTCGATACAAGATGAAAGCATTAAAAAAAGAATTACCAGCTGACCTAGTTTGTGCTACTCATATTACAAAAACAATACGTTTTTAGGCCTTACAATAAAGGTATCTTGTTATCTGAACAAAAAACAACCTTCTGAACTGTTCTGAACATGAAACATATTAATCCAATAGTTATTCATATTTAATAAGTGTTTTTGCACTTTTCATTTTACTTTTTTTAAAAATCAAACACACATAGTATCATAATAAAAACTATTTTCCTTTTATTTGCTAGTTCCTATATAAAGTGTAAAGAACAATCAGAATGTTTTAATCTCACATTTTTTACTCAGTTTTTCAATTTTCTCCCGTTTCTTTTTTTCTAGCTTTTCTCTCTTCATTCGTTCTTTTTCTTCCTCCTTCTTTGCACTGAAAGAAAACAGATTCAAGATTTTATACATTCTATCTTATTAGAAAATGTATTATCAATGTCACAACTGTGTAATGACTTGAATATGGAAAAAAAAAAGTGTTTCAATAAAACCTTTTTTTTTTAAGGAAATATTTGAGTTATAATTATATGCAATTATCTTATGAAAGTCCACATGTACTTGAACTAACTCACATAACTTTGAATTTTTAAGAAATTATATATATACAGTTTCATCATACCTTGATTTGTCCTTTGATCAGTATGACCAAAGTGGTCTCAAAAAAATGTTAAGCCTAGTTTTTTACTTCCATAAATGAAGAGAAGTATATTGAGAAGCAGGCATGAGTACGAGAACTGAGCATACTTCAAGGTTGGGACTTACATTTTCTGCTGAAGTTTCTCCCAGTGAGTGTCCTTCAGTCCACCATCTCCATCTTTTGGACTTGACTGATCTTTTGAACTTAACTGGAAAAAATAAATAAACAAGACCCAAAAGTCCTTAAACATTTTTAAAATAGCGTACAAACATGTAATATTGATACTTAAATTTATAAGAAATCAAATCAAGTGTATGTCACTCATCTCTACAGCAGATGCTGAATGCAAATTGTAAGTTAACTTCAAATTCTAGCAATATTTTAGTAGAATTCATCTTATTGTCTACAAGCTGGTCTACCAGGGTTAATGTTTCTTCATATAGCAATAAAAGAAACAATAATTTCAATAAGACTAGTTTGGTGGTTTGCCATTTCCTCTGAATAATGAGCAGGTTAATTCAAGGAAATAAATAATAATATATGGTGTTAAAATAAATTAAGTAATATATCCTGATATAGTGTGACATAAAGAAAACTGATGAGGAAGTATAGCTTCTCGTCAGTTTTCTTTATGTCACAATATATCAGGATATATTACTTAATTTATTTTAAACTAGATTAGTTGTTGAAGTGTAGCTTCTCATCAGTTTTCTTTATGTCACAATATATCAGGATATATTACTTAATTTATTTTAAACTAGATTAGTTGTTGAAGTGTAGCTTCTCATCAGTTTTCTTTATGTCACACTATATCAGGATATATTACTTAATTTATTTTAAACCAGATTAGTTGTTGAAATGTAGTTTAACAACTAATCCAGTTTAAAATAAATTATGTAATATAACCTGATATATTGTGACATAAAGAAAACTGATGAGAAACTACAATTCAACAACTAATCTAGTTTATACCATAACAGTTGCTGTCAAGAAATTTGCTAATTCAAACAGCATTTCAACTAATATTATATCTGTCATATCCTAGCCTGCCTTAATAGCCCAATTATCAGGCAAATGGCCTCTTCAGTATTGGAGAGTGCTTGACATAATATTATACATTCTTCTTAACCTTCACTCGGAAGTTAATATTAATAATTTTCATTGTTAATATTGTGCTATTGTATTTTAGTTGTATCAGCTAATGTATCTGCTCTCTGAAAAAAAAAAGAAACAAATAGCATAAAACATACAACTAAAATTACACTAACAAACATCACATCCTTCAAGCACAAAATATTTATTTTTGTCAATCACTGATTTAAAAATTATCAAAATAAAGAAGTCAATAAAACTCACCTTATCATCTATCTTCTCTGGCCTTTCTTGCTCCTTTGCTCTTGTTTCTTGTTCTGGACTGTCTTTTTCTTCTGTTTCTGATTGTTTATCCAATGACCTGTCTTTTGTTCTAATTTTTTGGTTGAAGGAGTTTTTATCTTCTGTTTCTGTATTATGTTTATCTGTTAATTTACCTTTTGTATTCTTTTTTAAGCTATCTTTACCTTCAACATTATGTTTTTCATCATATTTGTCTTTTGTTCTTTTTTCTTGCCTAGAATCCCATTTTCCATTGGTTTCTAAAGAGTTTTTATTTGTAGATTTATGTCTTACTCTTATTTCCTGTTTTGTGGTATCTCCACTTTCTGCATGATATTTATCACTGGATTTATCTTTTATTTGTGTTTCCTGCTTTTTAGTGAATTTGTCTTGAGTCTTTATGTCACACTTCTCACTATCCTGTCTCTCAATCAGCTCTCTGTCTTGGCTCTTGTTTGCTTGACCTGTCCTATCTGATTTGGGAGAATCTGGTCTTGTAGAAACCATCTTGGTTTCTTGTATCCTCACAGGTGGCTCAAACTAGTTTTAAAAATTCAAAAGTATAATAAGTCAAAAGGCTCTTAAATTACATATTCCTATCTAGACATGTATGTTGCTCAAGCTCTATACTAATATTTTTATGTTGCAGAGTGACAAAATATTCAAACAATCACAGAATTGTTTTTTACCCAATGGTTATATAAGTATACTTATATTTCTTGAAATTATAAAATTGGACAAATCTGATATAAAGGATCAATGTTATTCAAGATTACATAAGCAAAATTATTTTTATTTAACTGATAAATTTGGACTAAATCTGATGAAGAGGTTAAACGTTATCTAAGCACTTAACATTTAGCAATAAAAATTTTCTTTTGGTTGTTAAAATAACAAATGGTTTGTTGAACGTATCAAAATGGACAGAGATTGCCTGGTATCTTGTTAAATACTTTCTTAGGACTATTCAAAATCCAGTCTGTGAATTAATGAGATCAAATTCAAGGAATAGGGTGAGTTATACAGGGGGAGTCTCAATATCCAGCATTCAAATTAGAATTAAAAAAAATATATTGTGATAAAGGATTTGATCTGATAATCTCAAAAAATCTCACTTTACTGCAAAAAATATTCAACTGTCAACAGTGTTTGGCCATAAAGATGTAAAATTTATGGAATTGGGCAGACAAAACAGTTGAAATATTGTGTTGGCATACCATGATTGGTTGAATAAAATGTGCTTACGAATATTAGATCCTGAATGGTCTATACCAGAGCTGAAACCATTGATCTATATACTTTCATGTACCATGCTGGTGATGTTGCTCTGTTGCTACTACTATTATTGCCACTGCTACTACTACTACTGTCTCTGCTAAGGCTGCTATTTTATCCTTCACACACCTGACTAGATTCTGCAGCTGACTAGGTGAGTATTCGTGTGTGATTCCCTGCAGAAACCATCACAACAAAGACAATGATGACTGGATATACCATCCTTGGCCATCTTTATCAAAAGAACTTGTAAAAATCACTAAGAAATCAGCTTTATAGAGCTGAAGAATCAGATTTGTATTGCATAACATGTGCGACCACTACTATGTTTTGTGTAGGATTTTGGATAACGGTGTGAGTTTTACTCCCTCATAGCTTGGCAACTGGTGCAAATTTAGCCAGACTAATGGTCAATTCAAGTTCCAAATATTCCATGGAGTTCACATCTCTATTCAAAACTTAAAAAAAAAAAAAGAGAGTACCAGAAAGCTTTTATGAGAATCAGCTTGGCAAAAATGTCTCCTTCACTCGCAAACTGGGTAAAATGTTTCCCTTACTCACAAACCGAGTTTTAAAAAGATTTAGACTAAAATTAGTGGAAATGCCAATTAGAACCCAATAGCACATTTTATTTAGGTTAAGGCACCTATAAAACTTTAAAATCTATAACTCACAAGAATAAATAAATTCACAAGAGGAACCCAGCTTATGTTCTTATTTTTTCAACATATTTTAATATTATCTTTCATTATTACTGCACACACATCAAGATTTAAGTACAATCATTATAAATGTCTTTTACAGTTCCATAAAAATAGGTTTTATACAGATGTACTTTAGTACCTTATACTCAGTCTTGCACTTACATCCAAATTATTTTTTTTATGAGTTATAACTGTTTCATTTAATTAGTGTGAATATAGGACTTTTCTAATAAGGTTCAATGAATTTAACTACAACTATCTGTATAATTTCATAACATAAAAAAAACAAAGTTTGGAAACAAGATTTTAAAATTATCAAAGTTGCCTATTTTTGTAAGTGTATTTTCATTTTACTAATACCTTCCCTAGCACTAACACAACAGAAAGTTTGTTTGTCTTCAGATATTCGGACAAAGCTACTTCAAGGGCTACCTGTGCTAGGCATCCCTAATTTTCAACTAATAAACTAGAGGCAAAGCAGATGGTCAATAGTACCTACTGCCAACTCTTGTCCGACTAAATAGTGGGATTTTAAGTCACTCCTATAATGCGACCACAGCCTCAAGGTAGAGAGAATGATTTTTTTTTTTACTTTGGTAATAGGATGTGAATGATGGACCTGTAGATCGATATGTATTCCAGTATGACAACTAAAAGGCCATGCTTGACCCATGACAAAAAATCAACTTGGTACTCTCAGCACCTCACACATCAAATTCAAAAATTAACTGGACCTCACTATATGTGCAATCACCTATGCCATCTTCTTGATGTCAAGGGATAACCTACCAATTATCTAAACTGCTCCTATTTTTACACTTCAGCTAAATGTGAATCAACAACAGAAAATTTTTATTACTAAGTTATTAGCCAGTTGCAACAAAATCATATGTTTTAATTTCTTTGTGGCCTCCCAAAGCTAAGATCTATTACCAACAATAACTCATGAATCTGCAAAAGAAGCTTAAGAAGGAAATGCATTATTTTTAATGTTCTTTCCCAGCTATTAAGGAAAATATTTTATAATGGCTTATCAACAAGGATGAATTACTTCAATGCTTTCACTAACCTCTTTTAATTTCTATGCTTAGGTATAGGGAGAATAAAACAATCTTTTGTGCAGAAACCAATGTTTTGACTAATAGTCATACAAATGATATAAACGAAGCAATTCACAAATACTCTAAACTGAGATTATATTTTATGTCAAACATAAACACAGAAGAAAAAAAAAGTTATGTCGGTATTTTTATCATAACTAGGACAAATTAAACACTATAAACATTTAATAACCCAGAAGAATGATCTAAAAAAGATACTAATACAGTCAACTGATAAACAAATTAGCCAATCCTAGAAAATGATTTTGCTTCTCCACCCTAAGAAAAACCCATTTAAAACAAAACTAATGTTTTTAAAAAGCAAACACATTCACCCTGTTGACACAAAAATCGAATAATTGGTATCATCCACAAATAACTATTGATGTCATAATAAGCCAACTACCTATTATAGAGAAAATGTAAGAGGGCTTCTACTGACTTTCCTAACACATGGAAGAACTATAGAGCTATATGTATCTACAGTGAATTATTAATAAAAGCACTAAGAAATACTCCAGTCCACTTACGTTTGTCAGTAAGTAACTGTTCCAAGCTTAAAGAGAGAAAAAAGTTGAATATTTGAATATATTTAGTCTAAAGCTAGGGGGAAGCAGTCTCAAACACAAAGAGTATTTAACCTTTTCAAGGAACTCTGTTTTCAAGTAGACAAAATTCTAATTATATTTATATGTTCTAAACTCCCACATGTAGCCTTAGTCTGTTGATAAACCCACTTTATCTTGTATACAGAAACTATGTTCATCATTAGCATCCATTAAGATCTTAACATAATTTGAAAGGACAAGTAAGTCCTACACACCTTCATCATGTTTCACTACACCTAACTTAATATTTACATAATCTTTAATCAAGATTTTACTAAAACTATACAAAGAAATCACAGTTTTTTGGGAAACTCACCACTGAGCATATTACACAGATACACATTATTGTTTGTTTGTTTATTTGTTATGGATTTTGCGAGCAAAGCTACACAAGAGGGCTATCTGCTCTAGCCGTCCCTAAGGTGGTGATGACTAGCTGCCTTCCCTCTAGTCTTACACTGATAAAGGAGTAGCCCAAGAGTTGGTGGTTAATAATTTTGTTATATGCACGCTATAAACAGACTTTCAATATTGACGTAAAGAAAATACTTGAATTTCTAGACAAAAGTAAACAACCTCACAAGTCATTTTTTGGCTATGTTATGATTTTACATACATAACATATTCAGAATTATCTCATGACTATCATATATCAAATACTCCTTAAAATTTAGGTTAAGCATAACATTCACCACTGATCTGAGAAACATTTCTTCATTAACATACTTCTTTATCTTTTACTTTGAGCACTTTAGCCTTCTGACTGGCCCGACATGGCCAGGTGGTTAGGGCGCTCGACTCGCATTCTGAGGGTCGCGGTTTCGAATCCCCGTCACACCAAACATGCTCACCTTTTTAGCCGTGGGGGCGTTATAATGTGACGGTCAATCCCACTATTCTTTGGTAAAAGAATACGATTTCAAATAAAATTTAATAATTAAAATTCTACGCAAGGCCAAATTGTTGGTGATAATGAACTGTTGTATGTTTCAAATGTTTTTATTCAGACTCTGAGAGTTACTACTCTGATTTCAGAGTTTTTAAAGCCAGTGATATATTTTGTTGCTATTCGGCCAAGTTCTATGGCTTCAATATTTTTGTATCTTAACTTTTTTGGCGCGACTGATAAGGTGGAACTATCGATCAGCCTAATATAATTGATGTTGAAGGCTTCCGCAAATCGAGTATAAGCTAATACTGAAACCATCTAGGATAGTCTGATGTTGAAACCATCGATCAGTCAAACAGTCTTATATGAAGACCACTCGCGAAATGTGTGATGACGGTATACTGGGTTGAACATTATTTTTGTTATGATAACTATAGTTGATTGAACATTATATGTCTTATAAAACCGTATAGTTGGTTGAACATTATATGAGTTATGATAACTATAGTTGGTTGATCATTAGATGTTATGAGAACGTATAGTGGGTTGAACATTGATATGTATTATGAGACCGTATAACTGGTTGAACATTATATGAGTTATGATAACTATAATTGGCTGATCATTAGATGTTATGAGAACGTATAGTTCCTTGAACATTCTATGTATTATGAGACCGTATAGTTCATTGAACATTATATGTATTATGAGACCGTATAACTGGTTGAACATTATGTGTATTATGAGACCGTATAACTGGTTGAACATTATATGAGTTATGTTAACGTATAGTGGGTTGAACATTATATGTCTTATGAGATCGTATAGTGAGTTGAACATCATACGAGTTATGGTAACGTATAAAACACAACTGGGGTTCACTACACATCAGTGAATAAACAACTTGCAAACATGTAAAACACAACTGGGGTTCACTACACATCAGTGAATAAACAGCTTGCAA